TATACTGTCTTGTAAAGTGGTTGTTTTATTTGCTCCCAGTAGGTTTCAGTGACTTCCCTTCCTTCTCCTACTCTTCGCCCCTATAGGCTGATAGCTGCACCTTTAAATTACTGGGTTCTGACTTAACAATGGAAGACATTGTTGGTAAATCCAAAGACAGGAGGAGAAAGAAATCAGGGTGATTGTTTCTTTCCTTCCCTTTTCCAAGATCCAGTTCTCATTGGACTCTGATAACTGTTGCCTCTTGTCTGATCAGGATAGGGGTGGTAATGAATTTCAACTACTGCTAGTTCTCAGATACTTGCTTCCTCACTCTTGTTGGTTCCTTAACGTGAATGACATCTCTATAAAAAGCTAGTTTTTAAAACACATATTCTTGGGGTATGCAGTCTGTTTCCTGATGAGACCCTAACTGATAGGGTTCCCAAGACTGTCGTTGTACTCAGAATTTCATAGACGACCAATTAATGTGACATTTTCCATGTGCACCTGTATAAAATCTCACCTTTTCTTGCACTTGAATTTTTCATGTTTTAAGTGATTTTTCTCTATTAGTGAAAAATGTTTGCTTTCTAGCCTTTATTTCCAATGATCTTTTATACTATGCCTCTAGTTATTGGGGTTGGAAGAATTATACCCAACAATTTCTTTCACTAAGTAGTTACTAGTTACAAAATTTCTGCACAGCAAAGGAAACAATCAACAAAATGCAAAAACAACCTGTAGATAAGAGAAAATAATTTGCAGATGATCTATCTGAAAAGGTGTTGATACCTAAAATATATAAAGAACTCATACAACTTAGTAGCAAAAAGGTAGTGTGATTTTAAAATGCGCAGAAGATCTGAATAGACATTTTTCAAAATAAGACATCCAAATTGCCATTAGATACCTGAGAAGATGCTCAACACCATTAGTCATCAGAGCACTGCATATGAAAAATATGAAATTCCACCTCACCTGTTAGAATGTTTATTATCAAATGATAAAAGTTTTGGTGACCATATGAAACAAAAGAAACCACTATTGATGGTAATGTAAATTGGTATAGTCACTATGGAAAACAGTACGGAGGTTACTCAAATTTAAAAGTAGAACTACCACATGAATCAGTAATCCCACTCCTGGATATATATTTAAAAGAAATGAAAATAGGGTATCAAAGAGATGTGTCTGCACTCCTAGTTTATTGCAGCATTATTAACAATGGCCAAAATAGGGACACATGTAGCCAGAGTGTCTATCATGAATGAATAAAGATACGGTATATATATTTATATATGAAATATGTTTCATTTAAATATATTTCAAATATAAAATGAAATACTTTTCAACCACGGGAAGAAAGGAAATCCTGCCATCTGCGACAGCATGGATTGACCTTGAGAGCATTATGCTAAGTGAAATAAGCCAGCAGAGAGGAACAAATACTGTGTGGTATTTCTTATATGTGGAATCTTCTTATGTTTTTTTAAAGTCAAAAAACTCACAGAAACTGGGAGTAAAAAAATGGTCATCAGGGTTTGGAAGGTGAGGGAAATAGGAAGAAGTTGGTTAAAGGATACAAGCATTTGTAAGATGAATAAGGTATGACATAGTGACTATGGTTGATAAACTCTATATGCTATATGCAAATTAGCTATAATTTGCTAATTGAATAGAACTTAAATGTTCTCAGCTAAATATATATACATTCTATGTAGAATACAAACAAAAATATGTAAATGACTATTAACTCTATGAGATGAATCCTTTACAGTGCATACATGTAACTAATCATCATGTGCACTTTAAATTTCTTAAACTTTTGTTAATTTTCTTAAAAAGTAGTTACTATCTTAAAACTTGTGTTCTAAAAAGTCAGTACATTTTGAGAGAAAAAACACTGAGAAAAACAGGTAATATTTTAATCTCATTTTTATGTCATCAGTTACTTATTATATACTAAGTAATTTGTCAAAATTTGAAATCTGAACCCCATACCCTTATTTTGCCTCCTCTTTTTTTTTTTTTTTTTTTAACATGGAGTTGCTTTTTGTTGTTGAAAATTCAGTTTAGCAAAGATATGTCATCAGAGGAATATAGTACATTCTAATGTTGAAAGTATGAATTTACTGTGAACTTTTATTTCTTACGGTGTTCCACAAATATCATAGTGTTTCTTTTAATAAGTAAAAATATCCTTTCTTACCCCAGAGTTCCTGGCAGTTTTCGAAGCTTGGCCTTCTTTGTGTTTCAGTTGTTTTTATGGTGTATATGTATTGAAGGGTATTTTAATTACAGCACATGTTTTAATTTGTTGCTCTCCTTCCTCCCCTACAAGTAGAGCTATGCAATGTCTCTTACCTTTTTCTATTTACTTTCAATCCTTACAAAGACTTCAGACAAACCACATAGATTCCTTAGGTCTACTATAGATTTTTATCATTGATCTTAGATTAAAATTCATAGTAAGACAAAATGGAGTGCAAGTTGGGACAGTTTGCCAGTATTGCTAATCAGTACCTTGCTCAGATTATACTACTCCACTGTTTTAGTAGTGATTTTACTCCAACTAGAATTTAATTGCTCCTGAATTTGTCATTGTCTTAAGCATGCCTTTTACTTTATAGAACTTAATCCACTGCACCTGGAAAGGTGCCAGCAAACAGCTACACTTGTAGCTTAAATTCTATAAAATTTAGTAGTATCTCATAGTGTAGAAAGCAATTTGTTTTTCAGATGATATATTTTTCCCTATCCAGATCACATTGAATATTTGGGATTGAAGTAGGGTTGGGTTTCCATGAAAGAGTATTGTGAATACTGACACAAAATATCTTTGTCTGCTCTAGATCATAGCCACCCTCCCTCTTAAGTTATAAAAAGAGTGATACCTGTGCAAAGTAACAAACAGTGAAGAGCTTTTACTCTTTAACACCTCACTGTATAACTGTAAGCTAGCCTAAGGCTTTGTGAGAGGACCTTCAATTCCAAATCTCACATTGTTCCAGCATACTTTAGTTTGAAGCATGGAGTAAAGAGAGGAAAGAAAAATGAGTCAATATGGTAGTTTTACCAAAGTGACTAAAATAAATAGCGTATGACTATAATAAATTGCAAATAAATAAATAGCAAATTGGACCTCTTCTCATCCAGAGAAAGATATTTCCTTTAGCAGTGTGAAAGTATAAGAACTTTTTTTTTTAAAGATTTATTTATTTATTTATGCAAGCACTGGGGTACGGTCAGAAGCGCAGGAATGTGAGAGAATTCACCAGAGCCAGAGCAGAGAGCAGAACAGGCAGACTGACAAAGTGCACTGCTAAGGGGAGCAGCGGGTGGCAGCACCTTGTGGGACCCTCACCCAGCGGCTGGGGATCGAACTGGCGCTGCCAGCTTCGCAGCCCAGCATTCAACCGGCTGCACCACTGGGGAGGCCCAGTATAAGAACTTTAAACAAGTACTAATTCCAGCTTCACCATCTATCAGTAGATGCCTCACACATCTGCCTGATCCATAACACACAGCATTCCCTGAGATAGTAGAAGATGGGACAATGTAGACCTCTCCTCCTCTAATCCAAAGCAGTGTATATAGTCTAAATAACCAATCCCTGGTTCAGTTATTCCATTTACTTCAAGTTACAAATATTTATTTCAATTACAAATATTGTAATTGTTTCCCAAATACTTAAATTTCTAACTGGAATAAAATATTATAGCTTTAATGTCCACCCCTCCTGTATGTATCTTAATTATAGTCTACATGTACTTCCTCTTTTGTGACAAGTTTTCTCTCACATAATAAATATATATATCAAAGAAATGAGGTGGAAGGCCTGGACTCAACAACATAATGCCATAGATAACTTTTATAGTCCTTTCCTGATTGGTTATGAGACCTTCTAACACATTGTGTCTTGACTTAATTTTTTCATGGTCTATATTTTATGTGTTTCCTGTGTTCATTTGCATCAACTAATTTTATTATTTAAAGTAAAAATATTTTTTATTACGTATACTAGGAGCTTACATAATAGGATGCATAAGTTCATAAATTGATAGTTATTATATGAAAAGTAATTATTTTGTTGAGCCTAAAAAGAAAAACTTTTATCTTGTGGGTAGTCTACAAAATCCTGGAAAAGCAAAATAATAGAAAAGACTGGTGTATCATAATTAAAATATATGTTGATTATGACATGTATATAGAGAGATGTTTATGACTCAACCCTGGTATATAAGTTGATCGTTAAAACCTTAAATGTGTTTTTCCATATAAACATTTTTAATGATCACAGAGTATAACATAGTATAACATACTCAATTTGTCCCTGGTTTTTAGACATTCAAGTTCTAGTTAATTTGCCTTTTTTTTTTTTTTGATATTGTAATAAATGAACATCTTTCTGTGTAAAGCTTATTCTGAATTTCCCTTTTCCTTCCTACTTGTGCAGGCCTATGCTGTCACTGGTCCTATTACCCAGTGATTTTTTTTAAAGATTGAATGACCTGATATACTTAAGAGTGCTTACTAGCACAATGTGTGGCACACTGTAAGTGCAAAATAAATGCTCTTTGCATATCTTCTCCTGACTCAACTCTGGGTCAAGGATGTAAGAAGGTTTGAAATGAGCTTTCTGAGGTTAGCACTGGAGTCTTTGGTAATAGCACAGCAAGTGATGCCAAGTGGAAGAGGAAAATTGGAAAGCTTGAAGCTATATAATGCAAAAGCATTTCTGTGGTCATTCATATGTATTGGTTGTTCCAAATTGTGTCATCTTTACCTAAAATGAATACCTTGGCTGGAGACTCTTGGGATTTAAGTTTCTTTCTTTCAGTTAAAATGTATGTATGTTAAAATAATATGTAATATGGAAGCAGTACAAAATGCTCTTCGAAAAGCTTGACTATTGTGTGTGTTGTCTTTGTTTATTGTATTTTTATTTTATATTTGCAATGTTTTATTCAGTTGTGTGTCCAATGATGTCTTCTATTTTTTTTTCTAAATTATCCTAGTCACGTGAACTGGAAATTTCAGTTTATTGGCGTGATTGGCGATCTCTGTGTGCTGTAAAATTTCTGAGGTTAGAAGACTTTTTAGATAACCAGCGGCATGGCATGTGTCTCTATTTGGAACCACAGGGTACCTTATTTGCAGAGGTAATAAATGTATTTTACTAACTGTGCATAACTGCAATTGAAATTATGTATTTAGGAAGTATGATGTAAATGGAGAAAGTATTGGGCTGAATAGCAGAAAACCTTATTTTTTGACTCAGTTGTGCTACTGACTAGGTAGATTGCCTTGAAATAATTTATCTTTCTTGATCTATTTTTTCATCTAGAAAATAATAGAGTTAGGCTAAATTTTACCTATGATTCTCTTAAGTTTTCAAAATGTAAATGTTTAGTGAATTTCATGAATCATAAATCCATTACTATATTGCTGTCAACTTGTATTTTCTTCACTGCAGGTTACCTTTTTTAATCCAGTTATTGAAAGAAGACCAAAACTCCAAAGGCAAAAGAAAATTTTTTCAAAACAACAAGGTAATTACTAAGAAATAAAATACAAAGTGTTTTTGTTTATTTAACCCTTTGCACTCCGCTGTCCCCTCTCAGGGGACATCGGAATTCTAGCATATCACTCGGATGTCCCCTCTCAGGGGACATTGCAATTTATTAGTGATTACGGGGAATTGAGTTATTTCAACGCAACTTTTTGAGACATGCATGTTTCCCTGAAGTTTTATCTTGAAATGGCACAAGAAATTAAATCAAAATATCGTAAAATTACTAAGATATATACAAGAAATGTCAGCGGGCTTTGTGTCGGACGAGAACGTGAGATGTGTGCTCACGACAGTCCGAGCACTTTGCGACGCCACTTGAAAAGAGCAATAAGGGGAGTTTGTAGAAGAAAGGTCGGTTTTCGAACATAGTGCGCACTGTATAGTGAGATATATAATTACAAATAAACAAGTCTACATCTGGAGGAAAAGATTTTCAAAGCTGAGCTCATTTTGGTTTGAAGCTTCGAGCAGTGCACATAGATCTAACGAGGAGAAAATCAGAAAAGTGATTCTTAGTGAATAAATTGTTTGGTGAAAGCTATTTTGGTAAATATCATCTTGTCAGTTAGTAATAACAATTAGAAATTTTCAACCCATGCATTTATTCATATTTTTTATTAGAACAATGGCAAAGCGTCCAACCACGAATGAGTCTCATGACACAAGTAGTAGTGAAGATGAGCTCCAGATAGACCTCTATACAGACATGTCAAACATGCACTAATCAGCCTGCAATGCATATTGGGGAGTGTTACAAAACTTATCATACTGTACAAAATTATAAACAATAAAATATTGGTTTTTTTGCAAATATACATTCCTCGATGTCACCCAATTCATATAAGTCCAATATCATTATAATACGTTACTTGGTTCCAAAATTATACTAAATAATATGAGGGTCTGTAAATGCACGTTTCTGCTGCAAAGTAGTGTCGAGTACCTGGTAGCCAATGTCCAGAATGGTTCGGAGTGCAAAGGGTTAAAAAGTTATTTCCATCTCTGGTTTTTGTTCCATCTCTTTTATTTGTTCATTTATTTCTAACATTTTATTAAGGAACATTTCAAGCATATCCTTAAGTAAACAGACCAGTGCATCTTACCATCACTCAGCTTCAACAGCAGTCAGCTCATGGCTGATTTGTTTCATCTGTATTCCATACACTCACTACTTGCTCAGATTATTTGAAGCAGGCCCAGACATCATATTGATCCATCCACAAATATTATTATCTCTAAAAGAAGAATTCTTTTTTAAAATCTTAACCACATATCAGTAGTAGATTTTTTTTAAAAAGTGAACAATTCCTATTTATTTCTAAAACTATGTTTGCTGCTTTTTGCTAGCTTTAATAGCAGATAGTTAAGGGCTATTTTTTATGTGACAAATTTTGTTTATTCTTCATAAATTATAAATGGATATGAATTTTTACATTATGGCTTTTGGTAATATATTAAAAAATTACTTGTTCTATTTTCTTTATTCACAATACCCATAGGCAAAACATTTCTCAGAGCTCCTCAAATGAATATTAATATTGCCACTTGGGGGAGGCTAGTGAGAAGAGCTATTCCTACAGTAAATCATTCTGGCACTTTTAGCCCTCAGGCTTCAGTGCCTGCTACGGTGCCAGTGGTTGATGTACGCATCCCTGAACTTACACCTCCAGCAAGGTATGTGTCTAAGATTTTTTTCAACATTGATTATATAAAATAGTTTATTGTGACATTTGTATATATTGATTACAGTGGATCTATTAAAAGCATCATTTTTTTCAAATAGTGTTTTGATAGTGCTTCTATTAAATTTAAATGATTTGCTTTCATTTTAAAGTTATTTAAAATACTTCTGATTACTGTTTTGGTGAATTACTTTATCTTCTATAAGTGATTCTACAGTAACCAAATTAGACTTTGATCTTGAACCTGAACCTCCTCCGGCCCCACCACGTGATTCTTCTCTTGGAGAAGTAGGTGAATCTGCTGAATTAAGAGATTTGGATACACCCGGACAGGCAAGTCATTTTAAACCTTGTAAATTCCTTGTCAATTGAGTTATCTGTAGAAGCATCATAATGTTTAAAGTGTACTTTTTAATTAATTAAAAATTACTTGTGCGATCTGTGTATTTGTTTCTTATGAATGAACTTTTCTTAACTAAATTTGACCAAGTTGACAGAAAATGATCAGCTTATTAGTGTTAGCATGCCTTTGTCATTAGCCTGTGATTTTCATGAACCGGTAGAGATAGAATAGACTTGTGAAGTTAGAATGTGCTTTGGTAAGAGTGCTTGATACCAGGTGACATATTGCCTAAAGCACTCTGTCTTCTCACTTGGTTAACATGAATTGTGAATATGAATTAGTGATAATAATTATGTACATGTTGTTCATGTTTTTAGATAAGTAATGTAAAATTAATAATCATAAGAATGAATAACCAATATTTGAATCCTTTTTCAATAATATTTATTTTGAATTGACATTTTTTCTTTATCAATTTTTTCTGAATGTTTCTGATTTAATGAGTATTCAACATTTAATATTTTACAGGATTCAGAAACTGCTTTTGACATTGAAAATGACAGAAATAGTTTACTTCCAAAGTCTCAGTCAGAATATGATTCTGATATTCCTCAATCAGGCCTAAAATATAGTGATATTCGAGAAATTGAGGATAAAAGGTAAAGAATATGTACACAACTTGGTATTTCATGTTTGGTCACATACGTTTGCCTTATTTTTAATTGAAATTACCGTTTTCAGATCTCAACAAATGTTTCAGTTCAATCTACAAGACTTCAGATGTTGTGCTGTCTTGGGTAGAGGACATTTCGGAAAGGTAATTTTTAAAATTTTCTGGGATACCTACAAAATCAATACAATTTATTTTACAAATTATTTATAATTAAATATTTTAATCTCATTTCAGGTGCTTTTGGCTGAGTATAAACACACAAATGAGATGTTTGCTATAAAAGCCTTAAAGAAAGGAGACATTGTTGCTCGAGATGAAGTAGACAGGTTAGTTTTTTAAGAATGAGTTTTTTTTAATTGTAATGTAATATAAAAATTGTATTTATTGCAATAGCAAAACTTTTCGTAGTAATATGCATAAGAAACTAAATGTATCTATACTTGACATAAGGTAGTTGTTAATTGAATATTGTTTTTCTTCCTAACCATTCCTTCTTAGCGCTATTTATGACAGTTTACTGGTTAGTGGATATCAAGGAGGGATGGCAGAATGTTTTAACTATTTCTATTAGTATTTTTATACTTGGAGATGTAAAGTGTTTATGTGGAATAGGAACTGTTTGTTTATGGTTAGGTGAGACTATTTCCTATTTCATCTAATGGAAGTAATAAAATGTTATTTATAGATGATCTGTAGTTAAATGGCTAATATAGTTTTTAAAATTCACTTATATCTGTTTTTCCCTTCATTTTTTAAAAAATGGGTTTTTTCCACCATACTGTAATATCTTACCTTCCTGGGTTAAATAAATGCAAATTGATGTGGATATGTCTTTATGTAGTTATTAAAATGTAAGTACTTTAGGAATAAACATCTTTATATAGTTATTAAAATGCAAATATTTTAGGAATAAATAATGTTGTAATTAGGTTGGAGAATATACTTTAAAAGGACTATCTTAAGTAGTGTGGTTAAATATGGAAATTATTGTGTAATAATGGCATGTTATCACAGAAGGCTTTCATTTGATATTTAAAAGTAGTATTTTTAAAAACCATTAGGATATATCACTTGACATTAATGGGAGACACCCCTTTATAATGCAAAGACTCTAGGACTATGAGTGGAAAGACTGACTTATCTGGCCCCAGGGCAACTCTTGACTTCACTGAGCCTCAGCTAGCCAACCAACATATTTTAAAAATATATTTTATGGTAATACTTGCCTTATGAAATTAAATTAAGTGCTATATAGATATACCTACCAAATTGCTACTTTTCATGTTTTTCCCAACATTTGTGAAGTTTACTGAAATAGAGTAAATCTTAAGATTGAGGATTTCCTTTATGTGAAAAATCCTTTCCTTTTGGATTTGCTTTTTTTTTTTAACCTCTATTTCTTATTTACTGATTCTCATACTCAATTGTATTAAAATATATACTTTCACCAGCCCTTACCTTCCTTTTGAATTGTCTTTGCATATATTTCTGTCAGCATAGTCTAAAACTTTATAAAAAATTACCGGAGGGCTTTTTGTTTCTGAATATGTACAAAGTTATTAAGAGTGTCAAATCACAGCTGCATCTAAAATGTGCCCATTTTAAATGAGCTTAAACAGTTTCATAATAGCTGCATTTACTGTTGGTATTTAACAGCTTTAGGTCATAATCCAGATGACAGCTTTTTATTAATATAGGATTAAATACCATGCTTCCTCTTCACAACAGGTAGTATGCTTTATTTAAATGTCTTCAAAATTTAATTTAATTTTTTCATCATTGCAATGTAATCTGGAACCCAAGTAAATACTTTTAAAGTGCTTTTAAAAGATTAACCCTTGTTTAAAGTGCAACCGCCCCCCCCACCCCCCAAAAAAAAGAGAGAAATGGGTCTACCTCCTTTTAACCACAGAATTTTAGTTTGGCATTTTGGAATCAACAACAACATAAGCAAGTTTTTAATTTCAAAAATAAATAATTTTAATGCTTTTATTAAACAAGTAGTCGTCAATTTTTGGTTCCAGTTTCAAAATCACATAAGTGCTTATTTTGTATTAGAAGCAAATATAATTATTTTGATTAGGTGCTAAAAGTAATTCTAAGTTTTATTTGTATAAAATTTCACCTCATTTTTCTCTAGTTTGAATTTTAAGTAAAATTGATTTGCTAACTATTTTCAGAGGAAGAGAGGTAAGTTTTGCTATTTTGGCAAAACTAGCATTTCCACAGTTAATTAGTTTGGCTGCTGTTCTTTGTAGTAGCTTGTAATAGTTCTTAGAGGAAAAAAATCTGTCACTGCTGTAGATTTAACATAGAAATTACATAATTCTCAAGGCATTTCCTGTGATGCATCGTATGAAATTCTCCACTCAACCTCTTTATTTTCTGGTCAGCCTTCTAAATTAAAATTTTATGCAGCATATCTTTACTTCAGTTTCATCTATTATAGGATAAAACATTTGAATACTGCAGCTTATGAATTATAAATACTATCCTTGGAATTACCTTGGTCACAAACTTTATATTTTTAAAGATACGCTCTAGTTTGCTAAATCTCTTACCACTTCCTGGTAAATTTTTAGACTTCACCCCTAATTCTGCTTTTTTTTAATTAATTGTAACCACTAGCTTATATGTGCTACTATGAGACTATCAATATGAACTCCACAGTTGTTGTGTCACTGATGATCATATATTTCAGTATTCATTGCTGTATTTATTTGAGGTTTTGTCAGTTCAGAACATAGTGTAAGTTTTAGATGTACGACTTTATTTTTCAACATCTATATAGACTACATTATGATCTCATTAGTATATTTCAGTTAATATTATTTTTTGTATCAAAGGATTGATGCCAAAATTAAGATATATTTTATGGTATTTCCTACTAGAGCTTAAAAAGTTTATTAATTTTGTAATATTTTCTCTTCCAGCCTGATGTGTGAAAAAAGAATTTTTGAAACTGTGAATAGTGTAAGGCATCCCTTTTTGGTGAACCTTTTTGCGTGTTTCCAAACCAAAGAGCATGTTTGCTTTGTAATGGAATATGCTGCCGGTGGGGACCTAATGATGCACATTCATACTGATGTCTTTTCTGAACCAAGAGCTGTGTGAGTATGCTTCAGAAATTTCTCAGTTTTTTTATTACTGATTTCTCTCTAGGAAGAACGAAAGCTCCTTGAATTTTTGATTTTTTTTCCCACGTGGAAGATAAGTCTCTGCAGGGAATATTAGAACTCTTAACCTTTTGTGATATGTAAATATTTCTGTTTATCTTACTGTCCATGTTAAAAATTTTTGGAGACCCTAAACCGAACTTGATAATTTAAATACATAGTTTATATTCCTTTCAATAAAATTTCTTTTTTCCTATTATATTTTCTCCTTATGGAATGCCATCCATAGAACAGTGACTAAAATACTAGCTATACTCAAAGTACATCATTAAGGGAATAAAGTATAGAAAACTGTATCATTTGTAGAAAATATTTTTATTTTCATTTTTAAGGATAATTTAAAAGAATATTAAGTAGTTGCTTACATATACTTATGATATCTTTTACTTATAAAAGAAAGTTGTGTCTGTATTGCCACCAATGAAAGGTACAAAAAATAGCCCCAATTCTAACAATAATCTTAATTTTATGCATTCTACAGGCTATGAAGACCGTTCCTCCCTTAATATTCCCAAAACAACTATCCAGTCCCATCAACCATTGCCAGTCCTCATCAAATAGATTTTCCCTATCACATTTTTTAAGTTTTTGTGATTTTTGCATTTGATATTATTTGGAGGTTTACTTATTAAACTGCATAAAAATAAACTGAACACTTGAGGTAAAATATATATATTTTCTCCAGTTGTTATCATTGTTTTATAACTCTCAAGTAGTTGGACTAGGATTCAACCCTAGGAAAGTGCTCTTAATAGATATATTCTACATGCTGGTATTTAGCAAATTGTTTATAACCCCAACAGTTTCCTTAAACTTCCAAATCTATTAACATTCAGCATCCAACTTGATTTTTCCCTTTGTATGGCTAATAAGTATTTTTTGTTTAATTTCTGAAGCTGTGCACCTGAATTTTCCTACTTTCCCTGACTCACCTCCCACTCGCTATGTTTATTACTCTTCTAGGCTTCTCCCTCTTACTCAACAGGGTACCCTGTTGCTAAAATACAGTGTGTCATTATTTTCATCTTTCCCTTCCAACATGCAACATCTAAGCTATTAGCAAGTTAAATCAGTCCTACCTCCAAAACATCAAATTATAAAGATCATAAATCAGTGTAGACTTTTATTGGGTTTATTCTTAAATTTTCAGTATCTGCCTACATTCTGATGAAATAGTAACCACACCTTTTATTTGATTGTCATCATAACCATTAGCGATATATAGAGTTTATCAATACTATTATACCCTCGTGTTTCAGATGAAAAAATAGGGAGTTGGATAGTGAAGCTTTTTATAAAGAAGGCAAAAGTCAGAAAGTGATAGATGGCTACTAGTAATTATTCCCTGAATATTTAAATATTAAAATCAGGATATCTAGACTGTGCCTCACCTTGTGCTGCCATGTTAATGTTTGTTTTCCTTTTGTTGTTACCTTTTTTCCTTTAAGAAAAAAGAACTGTTTGGGTTTTGCTGAGAATGTAAATTATATGCATGTGAAACAATTAAGTTCAGTGAAATATAAGAATGAAATGCTACATTTTACATCATATCTGAATTACCTACTTCTAATCCTTCAGCGCTCACCTCAAATGTCATTTCTTTGAGGATGTATTTTTTTTTATAATTTTATTTTTATATTCCCCATACAATTGCAACCGCCCCATTCTGACCCCAATCCCTCCCCTCCCGCCCCCACCCCTCAAAAAGTGTCTCTGGTTCATAGTTTTTTGTTGATTTTGATTTTCACTTTCTTAGAGTTATTCATTTTCCTGGTCCCTTATTTAAGTTTTCTAGATTCCTGCTATGAGTGAGACCATCCGGTATTTTTCTTTTTCTTTTTGGCTTATTTCACTGAGCATGATCCCTTCCAGCGCCATCCATGTTGCTGCAAATTGCATGTGTTTATCTTTTTGAATGCTGAGTAATATTCCATGGTATATATGTACCACATCTTCTTGATCCAGTCATCTATTTTTGGGCATTTGGGCTCTTTCCAAAGCTTAGCTATTGTAAACAGTGCTGCTATAAACATAGGGGTGCAGGTGCTCTTTGGAATTGATGTTTCTGTGTCCTTTGGGTAAATACCTAGGAGTGGAATTGCTGGAATATATGGAAGCTCTATGTTTAGTAGGTCAAGAAATCTCCACACAGCTCTCCATAGTGGTTGGACCAGTTTGCACTCCCACCAACAGTGCAGGAGAGTTCCTTTTTCTCCACAACCTCGCCAACATTTGTTGTTGCTAGTTTTTTTAATATGTGCCATTCTCACTGGTGTAAGATGGTATCTCATGGTAGTTTTGATTTGCATTTCCCTGATTACAAGTGATGTTGAACATTTGTTCATATGCCTGTTGGCCATTTGCATTTCCTCTTCAGAGAAGTTTCTTTTTAGCTCTTCTGCCCATTTTTTGACTGGATTATTTTCTTTGTTGTTGTTGAGTCTCATCAGCTCTTTGCAGATTTTGTGATCAGTCCTTTATCATTAGTGTTGGGTGCAAAAATGTTCTCCCAGTCAGTGGGGTTTCTCTTTGTTTTTGTTATTGTCTCTTTTGCGGTGCAGAAACTCTTTAATTTGATGTAGTCCCAGCTGTTTATCTTTGCCTTCACTATCACTGCTTTGGGTGATGTATCTGTAAAGATGACTTTGATGTGCAAATCACGTAGTGTTTCGCCTATATTTCCTTCTATATATTTTATGGTTTCAGGTCTTATGTCTAGTTCTTTAATCCATTTTGAGTTGATTTTTGTGTATGGTGTGAGGTAGCGGTCAAGCTTCATTCTTTTGCATGTAGCAACCCAGTTTTCCCAGCACCATTTATTGAACAAACTTTCTTTGCTCCAATATATAGTCTTTGCTCCTTTGTCAAAGATTAGTTGACCATAAATCTGTGGGTTTATTTCTGGATTTTCTATTCGATTCCATTGGTCTCTATGTCTGTTCTTGTTCCAATACCATGCAGTTTTGATGATTATGGCTTTGTAGTATAGTTTGAAGTCTGGGAGTGTGATGCCTCCATTCCCTTCTTTCTTTTTCAGGAGAGCTTTGGCAATTCGGGGTTTTTTGTGATTCCATATGAATTTCATCAATAATTGTTCTATTTCTTTGAAAAATGACATTGAAATTTTGATTGGAATAGCATTGAATCTGTATATTGCTTTTGGTAGGATGGCCATTATAATAATGTTTATTCCTCCAGTCCATGAGCAGGGGATGTCTTTCCATTTCTTTGTGTCTTCTTCTATTTCTTTTAACAGTGTTTATAGTTTTCTTTGTATAGGTCCTTTACCTCTTTTGTTGGATTTATTCCCAAATATTTAATTTTTTTTGTTTCAATAATAAAAGGGATGGTTTTTTTGATTTCTTCTTCTTCAGATTTATTGTTTGTGTATAGGAAGGCTACTGACTTTTGTGTGTTGATTTTGTATCCTGCCACTTTACTGAACTGATTGATGAGTTGAATTAGTTTTTCTGTGGAATTTTTGGGGTTCTCTATGTATATTATCATATCATCTGCAAATAGTGATAGTTTGACTTCTTCTTTTCCTATTTGGATTCCTTGGATTCTTTCTCTTGTCTTATTGCTCTGGCTAGGACTTCCAGTATTATATTGAAAAGCAGTGGTGACAGTGGGCATCCTTGTCTTGTTCCAGATCTTAATGGAAATGCTTTCAGCTTTTCACCATTGAGAATGATACTGGCGGTTGGCTTCTCATAGATGGCCTTTATGATGTTGAGGTATGTTCCTTGTATCCCAAGAATTTCAAGGGCTTTTATCATGAATGGGTGTTGCACTTTGTCGAAAGCTTTCTCAGCATCTATTGATATTATCATATGGTTTTTATATTTCTTTTTGTTGATGTGTTGGATAACGTTGATTGATTTTCGGATGTTGAACCATCCTTGTGTCCCTGGAATGAATCCTACTTGGTCGTGGTGAATTATCTTATGGATACATTGTTGGATTCTGATAGCTAAAATTTTGTTGAGGATTTTTGCATCAGTGTTCATTAGGGAGATTGGCCTGTAGTTTTCCTTTTTTGTGTTGTCCTTGTTCGGTTTTGGTATTAGTGTAATGTTGGCTTCATAGAACGTGTTTGGTATTGTCCCTTCCTTCTCAGTTTTTTGGAAGAGTTTGTGAAGGATAGGCACCAATTCATCTCTGAATGTTTGGTAGAATTCATTTGTAAATCCATCAGGTCCTGGGATTTTGTTTTTGAGGAGGTTTTTGATTACCATTTCAATTTCGCTAATTGTAATTGGTCTGTTTAGGTGTTCTATTTCTTCTTTATCTAGCTTTGGGTGATTGTAGAGTTGTAGGAATTTGTCCATCTCCTCTAGATTGTTGAACTTGTTTCCATACAACTTTTCATAGTAGTTACTGATTATTCTTTTGATTTCTGCTGTGTCCGTTGTGATTTCTCCTCTTTCATTTCTGATCCTGTTTATTTGTGCTTTCTCCCTTTTTTCCTTTGTGAGCCTGTCTAGGGTTTGTCTATTTTATTGATTTTTTCAAAGAACCAGCTCTTGGTTTCATTAATCTTTTGGATTGTTTTTTTAGTTTCAATTTCATTTATTTCTGCTTTGGTTTTTATTATTTCTTTTCTTCTACTGGTTTTGGGGTTTTTTTGTTGTTCTTTTTCTAGATCTTTGAGCTTCGAGATTAGGTTGATTCTTTGAGTTCTTTCTTGTTTCTTGATGTGAGCTTCTATTGCTATATATTTTCCTCTTATTACTGCTTTTGCTGCGTCCCATACATTTAGGATATTGGTGTCCTCCTTGTCATTCAATTCAAAGAATTTTTTAATTTCCTCTTTGATCTCCTCATTAGTCCAGTGGTCATCCAGTAGTGTGGTTTTTAGTCTCCATGAGGTAGGAAAGTTCCTTGCCTTCTTTTTATGGTTTATTTCTAGCTTGATGCCTTCATGGTCAGAA